TAAATCTGCAACCTCTTAATACATTTATAAGCAAACATGAAAATGTATGATAAAAAATAAATATATTGGAAAAAGCAACTTGCTCAGGGTGAAAGAAACACTGGACTTTCTCCTCTAGTTTCACAAATGATGTAAATAAGAGATGGTATGTCTACACAAGCTATTGGGTTTACTCAATTACAAGGTATTTTAAATCTAACTACTACTGACCCTGTCATTAGCTCCTCATGTCTGTTTCATTATAGAGTCAAACAAGTGAATTCAAGCTACTCTCAAGAGCGTTTTAAACTTACATGTTTGAATCTACATTGAAATGCCCAAGAAACATACACATAGAATGTGTGTTCTAAATTTCAGCTAGAAGACAGCAGCTTCTTAAACCGTGGTTTTATTAAAGCTCATCTGAACACTATTAATGTTTTCCAGTATAAATTTAATTCTATATTCAAAGTGGTTCAGGACAGAGACTAGTTTAAGTTTACTAATCTGGATTTGCTCTCAAAGTTCTTACAATGACCGTTAACTAAGAGGTGGTTTAACGGCTTTCTGCTTTTCTGCTTTTAGCCATCATTTCCCATCTGGAATTTGGTAAGTGATCGGGTGAGTGCTTCACGTACCTAAAGAATAAAAGAACGAGTGATTGTTCATCAAGTAAATGTACTATAGCCTCTATTGCTTCCACATAGAAGCAGCTGAAAAAGTCAGCTTCTACAACTAAAACAAAGATGACCACGGTTTCACAGAAGTAGCCTCTATTTACAGATGGAGAAGAGAGGAAGACACTGAAAAGAATTTTGTGATTTGATATTTCTTGTATCAATTTTCAAAGAGAAAAGGTGATCTTACACAGCTTTAAGTGAAGGTGATCTTACACAGCTTTAAGTGTGCCAGAGGTGGGGAAGAATACAATAGCACAAATCTAATAAAAAAAAAGAATAATAAAATGTAAATAAAAATTCCAAACATTATGACTAGGATTCCAGTTCAATATTCCTTAAAGGTTAACTAAATCAAATAGCAAATTATTCACAGCAAACACTTTCTACTTTTACCTGTGAATTGAGACAGTAAATTCAGTTTAACATTTCACATACAAATGCTGCCAAGAACTTCTGGCCATGAAGCCGAAGTTCTCAAGAATATGAAATCCCTTTTTAATCCATTCTCCTACCCCCAGCTGTGCCTCACACCTCCTAAAAATAGTAAATGCACACACAAATACAAAAACATATTTGGATTTTTTATTCCAAGACACAAGCACATTTGACTATTTTATTTATTTTTCTGCTGTGAAGGCAGCAATCCAAATAATAAAACACTTGCACTGCCTTATATCATATTTTATTAGATTCAACAAAATTATAAATTTAAAAAACAACCGAGCTTGCTCCTCTTTCATTTCCAACACTCTAGACAATATGTACTGTCACATCCTTTCAAAAAGGCTGTGCTGGAATGTAAAAGTCTCAGTGAACTCTCAGATAAGTTTTTCTGGTCTGTCACAGAGTTGTTTATTATCTTGCACTTAACAAAATCTTTTAAATCCTTTCCAGGAAATGTAGAGCCTTTGTTAACTCTACTACAAATTTTTGGTACTGAACATGCAAGAATTTATTTGGAATCATTTAATAAAGAAGGTTGAGAGTCAAAAGGAGGAGAAACTGTCTCAGCCCACTACAGAAAAAAATGATCCCTTCAGAAAGATAAAAGTGCCATACTCATGATTAAACATTGGTAATTTGCAATCTTTGGAAGTGATACCAACACAAAAAGTATACAAAGACAGACAGGAAATGCCCAGATTAAGGTTGTCTTTACAAGTGCGCTTCAGCATCCTTCTCCTGCCTTTTCTCAGTCTGTAGTCACATGACCACACACTCCTTTATTTTACTTTTTTTTTTAAATTTTACAGAAACTGTGCTCTATTCAATGCACAGAAGGAATTTACTCAGGTAATTAGCAGGTAGTCAGTACTGATTTTTCATATTCAGTGTAAAGCTCTATGGCCCATTTACTTTAAACTATACAAAGGCTGCTCTGAAAAACAATTGTTTTTTCTTCTGATCTTTTCTACCATGCTGATCACTCTTGTAAGCTATTGCATTGCAAACAGTAACTAATTGCACTTCATATCATCATTTCCCAATGATCATGCACTATTAACTTAATGTGCAGGTGACAGACTGAGATGCAAAAGGATTAAGCTATGACATACCTTGCCTTATTCAATACTTTTCCAGCTATTGGAAAAAATAATTTATTCATTTAACATGCCTGAATTTCTCCAGACAATAATCTTCTATCTTGTAAACCCTGGCTCCTTCTTGGAGCATTTTTCACACAATACTCAAAATTGCAAGAGTCTTGCAGATAATAATTTAGTTATGAAATACTACAGTGACTACCTCACAATGTAAAAATGAGAAAGGCCAAATGATATAGTATGCACAACTTTGATTTTGCCATTTCCTAGCTTTTGGATGTTTAATTTTTCAAAATGAATGTTACCTTAAGGCTTCTGGGAGGGACAAAGTTGGTATGTGCAATTTTCTAGGAATAAGAAAATGGCATTTGGGAAAAAAAAAAAAAAACACCCAGACTTCCCATTACATGAGATGCTGTTGACATTGTCATGGACCATCAACAGGACTGCACCTTTCAGCGCCACCACACATCCTCCGCCCAGCCAGCTAACGGAATGCAGTCCTTCTGCCTCATGCTCTCTGGTGGCTATATCATATTGCCGAATAAAACACATACTACTTTCCCAGAGTTTGTATTTTCTGACCTTGGAGTAATGTTGAGGCTCAAAAATTTGGGGTTCATTACAAATTTTGTAGAGAATTTGCTCTCTTGGGCACAGATTCTTCTGCCTACTTGCACCAATTACAATCCTTTTGTACTATACTGCATTTCTCCAACCTAAATTTATCAACATTATTTAGCCAGGTTTAAATTGTCCTCCTCTTATCCAAGAAGTCTCCACTAATCTGCAAGATTGCTCATCCTTTTCCTACTGCTTTATTTCAGGTTTAGGGGGCTTATTTTTGTTTGCACAGTCAGTTCTATCCACCAACACCTTTGACCCTACACCTTTTGTCCGTATGCCACTCCCAACCCATACCATGCCCTTCCAGAGTCCCAGGTTCACCACAGTTTTCATGGCAATCCTGTCTACTCATTCCCCCAAGAATATCTAATCTGTTTTTTCTCTTCCCAATGCCTAACTTCCAGTACTGGCTTCCAGTCCTAATGGATTATTTGTCCTAATCTATTCTGCACACTGAGATGCTGATTCTTGCTTCTGCTCTATTTGTATCAAGCAGCTGCTTGGAACGAGCCTGGCATTTCGTGAATAGTGACTTCACATTCCTGCAGTGCAGGTGGAATCGCTGGGAAATGTCACTGCTAAATCTGCGATACTTCTACTGAGCACATGTAAATAGACAATGTGCTGAACTGTTAGCCAGTTTAGGTAGATTTAAACAGGGGCGTCACAAGTCTCTGGTACGTGGACCACATTTTTTCATAAAAAACGACCATTGTGAAAAAGATAAAAAACATTTTTTCATACTTTGTTCTTGAAAACACTGTGGTTCAGTGAAAGCACAGATGCTTTCAAAAAGACACAAAACCAAACAAAATCTCAGATTGAATCAAACAATATATGAAATTTCAACTAAAAGGGTTAAAAGGTTTTGCAAAATCATAAACAATTGATAAAAGAATCTATTTAATGGGATACACTAAACAACTTTAATAATAGATTGTACCAGTAGCGTAACCAATGGGATAGGAGGCTGACAAATTATTTTAGAGATTTACTTATTTTCTGGGAAAGTCCTGAGCATCTGCTTTTCTGACCTGAACACGCAATACTTTGGGGCAAAAATATTCTGTCATGAAATACTAAATAAGGAAATCTTTCAAATGCCTTATCCACTAATCTTACATCTTTAAGAAAGTTTGTTATTCATTTTCTAATCTTGGTGCTCCAAATACCTTACAATATTTATTAATTTATTCATGACTGCTTTTACAGATAACAAGTATTTTTGACATGCAGTGTAGGAGTTTTTACTTCCAACAGTCCTTCCTAAATACTTTTCTCTATGGCACACATACCTCTTTACCCAAATCCAGTCACATAAAACTTTTTATTATCTGCTCCATTAAAATAATTTTAAATATAGGATGTTGTGAAAACTGAAACTAATAAAAACACCAGGAATTCTCTGACCTTCTGACAACTACTGCCAAGACAGATAGCTAACGTTTACCCTAAACATTGTCAAAAATAACACCGATATCAGCCTTCTGAAAGCTTTGTAACACAATTTTATATACATGCAGTCTCAAAAGAAATCTCTAACAAAAAACACCTTGGATTAAGAAATTTACTATGTCAAGATATTATTACACAAACACTCTTTGAAAGGAGTGCTCTTTGACATCGAGCAGAAGGCTAGTCACAGAGTCCAAAATTAAACTGACAATGTACCAATGATCTCAATGGATATACAAGTTTTTAGGCAATCTTTTACTTGCTCTAACTTTATTATTATTTCTAATGTGCTGCTGCACATAATGTTGCAGAGTGCTTTCACACAAGAAGCCTGAGTTGTGTGGAAATTCTACTGCAATCTTGCTTGGTCAATGCATGGGCAATGGAGATGAAGGAAAAGCTGCAGGATGTCCCAAGCAACTACAGCAAAGGGAAACAAAAACATGGGCGCAATGTTAAGCTGTCCAAACAAAAATGGAGTTAGACTAACACAGCCAGAAAGTAAGAGCATCTCAGAAGGCTTTTTTCAGCATGACTGATTAGATGTATACTACAGCACTTTGTTTGTACCCATACCATACATACCCACTACTTGTGTAAATCACCAATATACTCTGTGTTAGCCCAAGTACATAAAAGCACAGGTGAATACACATGCAACACATACATAATTAAATGGGTTGGCAATAGCCTCTCAGTTTGCCAGGGAACTTACTAGCTTGGATGGATGACTCAATAAAACTTCAGGGTGCTAAAGGGAGAAAAAAGATAGGAAGAGAAGGGGAGAGAATTGGGGATAGGAGCAGTGTGAGAGAGGGAAAAAAAAGATGTAACAAGAAAACAATTTAAAAATAGCTGCAACAGTAATTTACTAAGAAGACAGAATCTTCATTTGTGGTTTCAGGACTTATTACTACAAAGCTTTTGAAACAAGAAAAGGGTGGAGAGTAATCACAGTGCAAGTTCTAAACTTGATCTTGATATCTTACAGTGACAGTTTTTTTCCAGTACTCAAATATTTAACATAGTCCTGTGTTCGGGCTTAGAGATGGCAAACAGGTTGAGCAAAACTCTTATTTCTAGTGCTTCACATACCAATTACAACACAGCTAAATGGTTTGGGAAACTATCTGAAAAACTGATATAACACTGAACACAGTTGCTAGGTTTTTACTTTAATTTTGAACAGACATTAGGATTTCCCTGGCAGCCTTTTTCTTCCTAGGTTGCTAAGCTGAATACATTAATTACAGTCCTTTTTTGAAAAAACAAAAAAACCCAAATCATAACCCACTGTGAAAGAAATATAACATTTCTGTCTCAACTACTAATATATCAGTAATATTTCTAGTTGTGACAGGAAATTCACGTTCACAAAAAGAAAAGCACCAGAGCCTATATTAGACTAACCGAGCCAAATGCCAGGAAGCATAGAATTTGGATCAACACTTCGTTCAGTCATTTTTTCCTGTCCCTTGAAAGATGTTATCCTCTTTATCTTGAAGGAAGAACACCACAGTGCAACAAAATCCTGAGAGTGAGCCTGTTGCATCTAGCGGTATATCCTTGGCAGAGAACCACTGTTAGCATTCTCTGCTAGAAAGTCCCTAGAACTGCACCAAGTGGAAATTTGTTAACATATTGTCTTGGATTTTTTCTTTTCTCTAACCTTGCTCCCTTTCAAAGAAGCAAAACAGTTACAGGGAGAAAAATATGCACTGAAAACCAAGAAAAAAATCTGCTCATCTTTGCAGGAATGTATTCTATTATCACTAGGTCTTGCCCAGATTTAAAAAACAAAACAAAACAACATATATTGGCTGGGAAAGACAAGAGGCAGAAAAAGCAAGGAAGAGAACATCCTGAGGAAGAAAGAAGTAAAACATTATCACTAGAAAAATGTTACATTAACACAGAAGTTTGAAAAAGAGACTTTCCTAAAATAAACCCACTTCACAGAAAAACAATCTTAAGAGGAATCTTTGGAGAGAACTCCCTGTAGGTGACTGCCTGCTTTGAAACTTTAGTGATTCCATCTCAGTAAAAAAAGGAGGTTGTATAAGGCAGCACAATGGACCATGTTGAAACTCAGCAGGATTTACAGCTTTCTTCCAGTATTCAGAATCTCCTATAGTATCTCCTGCTCACAGTATGCTGACAATTGAGCACAGAGTAAATGACGGTGAAACAATTAGAACAGGTTTGCTTAGCAGGTATCATTACTAAAAAAAAAAAAAATCAAACAAAACAGAAAAAATCCCCAGTGAATATGAAAAACATTGCACTTTTATTAGCTAAATATGGATCATATCCACATGGGGATCACCATAAAATATTTATTAATAAGAAAAGGAGCAGTAAGCATGAGAACTGGACATCTAGAATCAAATACTGGAAACTGAATACACGGAAAGAAAAATAATACCATCAACTTTTCAGCATCACTGCACTCCACTTGGCTAATAGTATTTCATTTTAGTGCAATGTTAAAGAGCATTTACAGAAGAAGTGGAAGCCTGAGTGTTCATGAGTTCTCAAAGGCTCACTGTTTAAAGATTAGCAAAGGGTTTTTCCAAGGACTGCCCAAGTCTTTTTTATCTAATGGTTTAACAGTACTGTGATTCAGCCTCTTCTGTCAGGATCTTAACAGCTATGGCTATTAGATTTAACTGAAAGTACTTGAATTGTTCAGTGCAAATAGAGGAAAGGAAAACAGGACTGATGTTAGACACACCTCTATTCAAACTGCAAGGGCAATAACCTGAAATGAAAACTTATTGCCACTTGCTGCTAAGAGCTACACAAGAAAGCGTCCTTCCTTCACATAAGTACCTCATGCAAAACAGTACTAAGCTAATGCAATAAAACTTAACATAATAAAACTCCTCTGACCATTCCCAGTTAAGTTTCAAACTGATTTACTTTTACAGTCTTTTAGTTGGAAGGTGAACTACGACAGCTATTTGCTATGGTTAATAATGCAGATGTGTAAAACAGGTGTTTAGGAGATTTAAATTGGAGCTGGATTATCTATCATATAATTGTTTCAAGGATGACAGAAGAAACTAATCCACCTTGAAAATGTCAAATTGCTTGAATAGCTATCTGCAATGCATTGAATGAGAGAAACTCTTTAAAAAAAATACTATTTTCTTCTTTTCTGCAGAACAACAATGAACTGCATTGGCAAATTAAAAGCAACTGGAAAGAGGCTTTTAAAGAAATATCCAAGCAAATTCATAAGTTAAAAAATATACAAGTGGTTGCTAACAATAACTAGGAGTGACTGTGATGTGGTTCTAGAAAATAAGGAGGATCAGTGATAAAAGTGAGCTCTTTTGTACAAGTTGAGGAAAGAAAGTCCCAGTTAATTACATGAAAGTGCATCTCAGTCCTACAGCTGGAATTCCTTTCTAAACTATCATTCTGGACTGACTTATTAACACCAGAAAACCTTTCTCTTGAATGAAAAGAATGCAGTAGTCCACCATCATAGGCAATGGTAGGTTACCAATTTTCATTGCTTGTAGAACTGAAACCATCCTAACTGGAAAAGATTAGGTGGTTTCTCTGGGTGTGAAGATGAGAAAGTATTTATGTTTATATAATACAATGAATTTCTATTCCATTTTTCTCAGAACCAAATAAAGAATACAGTTATTTGTACAGTAGCTGTTCTGCACAGTTAAGAGTGCACTTTACATTTAGCTATTCTCCTATTTTAAGCCTCAGGAAAGGATCACAGGAGAATAACTGATCTTCCTATTCACTTCTCGAAACAAAGAGAATAGACTATAGAAATATGAACTGGCTCAGTCAGGTTCCTTAGGCAATGTTTCTGGATATCAGCATTTAAGAACTATCCTCTCTAAAACGGAACGAGCAGAGGTAGGCTTAATGAAGAGCTGTCACGGCAGTGCAAATTAACCACAACGTCATCTTCTAGCTAGCAGTGCTTCACCAGATTTTGGTGAACCTCCATGCCCTTTCATACTACTGAGATGCTCACTGCATATAGTGAGACAGCCGTCTCTGGGGAAGCAGTGAAAAGCAGTACATTGACAACTGCTAAATATGCAATCACTAATCAATCCCTAAATAATTTAATTTCCACAACTGTGTTTTCATAACTTAACTTTATTTGATGTGCCCTCTCCTAGTCAGTATTATTTTTGTAAAAATAACAAAGCTAAAAAAGGTCTCCGTTGCATCTGTCTCTGCAAAATTAATACTATTATCCAATTGCTACAATAATTTCTGGCAAATCTTAGCTATGAGTTATTCCTCAAATCATTATCAAAAATACACTATCAAAGGGTGAAGTTGCAATTCATGACATTTAGAATTCAAAATGAAAGGGTCCTTCAGGACTTCTAAAATACTCACTATACATGAGTACATGGTACCATACCATGTGGTATGGTACACTGAAAATAGCCTGTTAAAAGTGTACAACTATCTGTTCTTGCTATGTGCATTTTGCTGGATAACAGAACAGTGTCTTTTTTATTTGGTGTAATAGAACTAAAAAGAATGGCAAACATGGGTCTAGAAATAAGTATATGGAGTTTCACTCTCAGAGAATTCTCAAGTGCCTTAACACCCACTTTCCACCCACACAATAAAAATGCTAAAAAGCTCTTAATTGTTGCCTCAGAATTTGTTCTCAAATTCACCTGAGGTACTAGGAGAGTTCCAGACTAGAGCGCAGGCACTCCTCTTTTTCATGGCTGGATGTAAAGAAATAGCGAGGACTCCACAATCCAAGATTTAAATTTCTTTAAATACTGTGTGCTGCGTTTTACATTTTTTATAAGTGACATCATTGTCACCACTGTTTTGGTTAATGCTTTTGGTGCTTCTCTATTACCTGGTATTCTAAGTTAAAATAAAGATTGTATTCCTCTAAAAGGTGCAATATAAGAACTGTTCATATCTAAAATGAAGAAGGCTTGAAACACAAAGAAAATCCAAGGATTCCATTCACAAAAATTAACTTGCCTGTAAGAATGTATTATTCTGCTATGCTGCAAATTCCTAGAGACTGTTAGCTGTGACTGGCAGTGAGACTGAAACAACAGACTACGTATTTCATTGGTGATCTACCCTTTTCAATTGTTTTTATGCATTCCCATGTGCCAGTTATGCATCTGAATTTATCACATCAACACCTACATTCATTGACAACTGATACTTGTGAAATGTTTAGCTAATACATTTTTAGCCTGTATACCAGTTCAATGGCACATTTATTGTTGGGTATAGTACTGAAGCAGACTAAGTCTGTAATTCCTATTACCTGTTAAGAAAAAAACAGTCAGCACCACTGCCATTGCACGTAAACAAAATTCAAAATTAGAACCAGTATCAGGAAGTTCCTTTCTGACAGGCTCAGCTTGTAACAAGTTTTGAATCGACACAACTTCAGAGTACTTTGCTAATAAGCAATTTACAGAACTCAAGCTCAAGACCCACAGTCTTGTGAGTAAACATACTCAATTTGTCCAACACTGCTTACTTATACTACACATGTAAATATGAAGATTACCTTTTTCAGTTGCGTTTCCATTTTCAAACATTCCTCCTTTTTCTGCTCCAATGCAATTTCCAGTGTCTTGAGTCTCGAATCTTTCTTCAGTCCTGATGAAGCTAGAGATGAAGCATGTTCCTTCAGATCCAGTAGCGATGTCTGAAATAAAAGACGTAAAGTAACTGTAACAAGAAAATGTTCTTTACATGCAATAACTAGTTTCTTTTTATCTGTTTTCCTCTTATCTCTTCACACTGTGTTCAGGATCCCAATTTAGAACAAGACGTTTTGTGGGAACATTCGCTGGACGTTCACGGAGTTGACTTAAGACAGCTTGATTTAATTCTGATTTAAGGATCAAAATAAAATCTTGTCTAAGTACACTTTAAATTCATTTTTAAAGAGGGAAGATTCTGAAAATTGGCACTAGTGCTTTGACAGTCGTGTTTAAGTAAAATTATGTCTAAGTAAAATAATACGTATTTAGCAGATTTGGCCACTGTATCTAAAATTGAGAGTATTTAAAATTTTTCTTTAGACAGCTGCTATGGGGTGAAAATAATTCACGCTATCTACCAATAGACTTCTCAATTTTTGTTTTGTGAAGCATTTTTGTGTTGTTTGTTTCTTTCCTGTCAAATGCTGACTTCCATGTTAAAAAAAAAATCTTAGCAGTTGCTAGGTGCAATTTTCTTATATTGCTTTAACTTAACTGAGTTTTGAAAAAAGACTGTTAATATGAATTTTACAATTGCAAGAGAAGAACAGAGAACATTTATATTTCTGTGATATAATTAGGTCATTTTATCTGGCCAGTAGGCATCATCACCAACAGCCCACTTAAAATTTGACTTTTCAGAGTCCAAAGAGCTAGTAATATTTTTAACATAAAGGAAGAAACATTATCGCTATGTTTTCTGTGCCTGCAGCTTTGCTCTACCTCTGCCCTTTCCTTCTTATATTCAAACAGGAACAAACTTGTTCTTTAGCTTCAGTTGTATATAAGCATAGCTCCAGCAAATGCTATGGTTGACGACTGGTCATTAACTCATACTACTTATGACTAAACTACAGCAAATAACAGGACGGTGGGCTATCCATAAAAAGGTGGTTCTGAAATATTTATGTTTGAAAAATTCCCCAGAAGTGTATTTCACTAGATAAACTTGTTGAAGGACCTTTACCATAAAGGAACAGTTTACTTCATCTAAAATACACACACATAACATATATAATAAACAATTCTAATACAACAGATACATTCTATTGCTTTTAACCTCTTTCTCTGTGAGATCTCCTTGTAAAATGCTGACTTTCTCTTTCAGGTCCTTAATATCTTTTTTGTAGTTGTCGATCTCTTCCTGTTTTTCTCGTTCATCTCTGTCTCGTTGCTCCTTCAGGCGCTCAATGGTCCTTTCCTGACAAAAGAAAGTACTCTTTGAAGAAAATTCCTCTCAGTCAGTTCAACTTTTGAGTACTGTCACAACACTTCCTACACACTGTAGAGGATGAGTGCAGGTATTGCCATTTCCTTTTCTTTACTGTTGTAGAACAGCCCCTCAAGAAAGAGGAAAACTGCCTTGAAAAAATCTGTGGATTCACTGCTAAGACATATCAGGCTGTTCGTTACCACAGTCTTCTTATGTCTGAACGTTCACAGAGCTGCTGCAATGTAACGTAATTTATCCGGTTCTGATAATCCAAATTCACTTACCAAACCTAGACCAGTATATACTGGACATTGCTTCTTAAGTTTTATTTTTCCAAAATGCCTAGATAAGTCTGTAGCCCTTCAGACAGAAAGAGGTGTAGTGCAGATATGACAGCAGGACGAACGTGCGTTAAAAGATGGAAATAAAAAGATGGTATCTGTATACCAGATACCAATATAGTCTTAGCTATCTTGAAAGGTGAAGAGACACAAGTGAATTTCCTTTATAAAACCCCAAGCTCAGGCAAAGCTTTACAAAAGCTTTACTTATATAAAATCTGACAGACTAAAGGAGCTGTAACCCTGGTTCTCCAGGAATTAAGAAAAACAATATACAGTAATGCTAAAAAGTTGTCCCACCAAAACAGAATAAAGATTGCTGTTTCCTCAATCAACTGCCTCCTGAGAACTGAGCAAGCATGAAAATAAAGGGAGAACAATAAAGCTGAAAATATAGCGAGACTGAAACACGGTTGCATCAGGGAAGCTACTCGTGTTGATTCAATACTGGGAACTAAAACTCAATTTGAAATAATAACACTTTAATAATAAATTCATTGTTAAAATATCTGAGGAAAAACGATAAAATGAAATGAGACATTGGTCTGACTTAGGAAAAAAAAAAAGGTAGACGATTCCACAGAGGAAACAAACTGCGTCCCACAGCAGTACCGAAGAGGTATCATACAAACAGACAACACTGGGAGCAGGACTCCAAGAATACTAACGTAACAGAAAGAGCACCATTTTCTTTCACACAAAGTTACGGAAAGTCGCTAATGACTAGAGGAATAGCTTGTGGCTCAGCTCTACCTCTCGCCTTACTCATAGCACTTAAAATTGCACCGCCGGCTGATTGAGGAGGGCAACACAGGTCGCCACTCAGCACGTCCTCCACTGCCCTCTAGTGAGGGATCAGCAACAGGCTCTCCTCGCTCCTCACCTGGCAGAGACAAAGAATGCCACGGCTGTATCGCATTAGAGATTTTTTTATGGAGAGTTCAAGAAGCATATGGAAAAGCCGACTTTACAGAGTTTATTAATAGAAGCACCCTTAGAAGTAAGGGACTTTCTGCTTTCCATGCTCACTTTTTCTGCAAGGGCTTCTTCCAGCGTGGTCAAGGCAGTGTCTGTGTTTGTGGTATCAGCTTGCAGGGATTTCACTCGATCCTTCAAACTGCTCATCTGCTTCTCCTTGTCTCTTAACTGTTCTTGAAGATTTTCAATCTTAAAGAAGAAAGGTGAATTTTAGAAAAAAAATACAACGCCAGCTTAGAAGTATATTAAACTAAGGAATACACACTTTAAAAATGTTCTTAAAGTACGAAAGCTAAGGAAGGGCTTAGTCCCATAAACCTACGGCAAAACAAGAAGCACTGCAACCAAAGAAAATGAATATTAACACCAGCGACCTTTTCAAAATTAGGAAAGAATTCAGAGCAAGAAAGTCTAAATAATGTTTACAAAAAGAATATAAACACAGGGTATTTTTCGTAAGTTGTGAGGATGTTGTTCACTGTGTGACTAAAGGAAATATTTAGGCTTGCTATTAAGGAAAAACTGTTGATGTAATAACAATATTAAGGGGAAAAAACTGAGAAAACTTTACTGCAGATAGAATAGGCCCTTGATAATTCAGAATTTGTGAAGAAGACTTCTTCTAAGTTTTTCCTTAGATACTGTCACATTCTTCAGTGCATCTGTATCTGTTTTGTCTTATATGATGGTTTCCTAAATAGTGGACTAGCATCATTTCTCAGGCAGAAAATACCTTGGCCTTTTTTTCTGCAGATTTAGAATTCTAATAATTTATGAGTTCTGAATATATCTCTTGACAGACCAAAAAATCTTTCATTCAGATGAGAAGACCCAATAGCAAAGCTAAACCCATTTTATGCATGCACATACATCACAAGAAGCAAACACATATTGGCACATTATGATAAGCCATATTGGCACGTTATGATAAAACACATTTATCAGTGAAGGATTACACTGCGTACGGATTTTTGAGTTGCATCCTTGAGTTGCTGTTGTTGCTGACAATTTCTTTTTGCATCAGCAAACGTCCAGCATAACCTGGAGAAAGACTCATGGCATGTAAGGTACCTATCTCCAAAATACCCGTAGCAAGATAATCTTTCAAAGAAATATACCTAACACGACAACGCCAAAGGCTATCTAGCCCAGCGTTTAGCAAATTAAATGCGAGCATCACTAGCCTGCCTTTTTGGCTCACTCATCTTTCTGTGAGCTCATGAATCAAATGCAGCGCAATTTCTCCATGGCAGAAAACTGAGCAACTACTACAATGGCTGAGTGCAAGTGCTTGTACTTAAGGCCCTCTCACAAGAGAAAATGAACTGCTGCCAGCACTTAACAGCCATTAGCAGCTCCTTGCTCAGTGGAAATACAGCAACTGCCTCCCACTTTTTACTCCCCAGCCCTGGAAGAACCGAGCTGCTGGGAATACAGAGCAAATGGCTCTTTAGAGCCATCAACTACCGTGTTGTCATCTGTGTTAAAATCATTCCTGGACAAGGGTTTTAGAAAAAAGTCTACATCAGTAATGATAAATTTAAAAGACTGTGCAGGAGGTCAAATATTTAATTGGTTAGACGTGTTATAAGTGGAAGCCAGGAGAAGGTGGCAAGGAGGCCCTAGTTTCCGGAAACCTCTGCTCAAGTTCCTTTGTAAACCATGGCCACTGAAGGAGCCTCCCAGTACGGTTTTCTCCATATCGTTTCATTTATTTCTATTTTGCAGGCATATGTGAACTTATGATCCAGCTTTGTACACAATCTATGTATTAGTGACAGCACAAGAACTACATAGAGGTTTTTTTTTTTTAAAAAAAAATAAAAAAAAAAAAATTATTACCCCCCCCCCCCAAGCCATGCTTAAAATTTAAATTTGCACACAACGCAAACGACACTATACAACAAACTTTAAAGAGCACGCCAAAGCATGACAAGTTTCATGTCACGTGCCCCAGCTATAAGTATATCATAACACTGAAAACCCATACTTATTTATACACTCCTATTTATTATTTAATACCCTTACTAGCATATGCTTGTAGCACATGGAGCTAAACGTTACCAGCCTCAGACAGAAGGCTAATCGTTCGGAATGAGAAGTCCTCCTGGCGCCCACACACGCAGTAACTGAGCGAGGGAACATCCCCAAGAGTGGCCTATGTGGCTGCTCTTGACCTTATAAGCTTTCAGAGTGTCGTCAGCTGTCTAGACAGACTGGCTGTTTAGATAGCCAACCATGAAAATATACTACAAAGAAGCGTGAGCTATTCTTAGACTCGCGTTTACTTCTGGAGGCGAAACACTCCAGCAAAGGCTCCAACTGGCTGAACAGGGCACAGAGCAGAGTGACTTTCTGCTGTGAGCAAACTGCACACGAGACACAGCTAAATAATTCAGCAGCAGCAGCATGTATTAAGGTGCTTGCCAAGGCATGCAGCACAAAACGGGGCACATGTATTTACATTCAGTAACGCACTGTTTACTGTGGCCAGAGTGAAATGGCAGCTGTATAACAGTACTATATATGACTATTGCATCTTCTCATCATAACTGCACCGTCCTATATACCAAGAAAACGTAATGTGTACAACATGTGAACCTGTCTGATTTTTCAGCCTTCAAGCACGCTTCTCAGTGCCTAGAGTAAGAAATCATTTTTCCTTTAGTCTCCAGGGAACTGCAGGTACACTGAAACGTTTCAAGTCATACTAATAGCTACATGCCATCAAAAAAAAAAAAAAAAGGCTACACACAACTGGGTTTTTTGCAGGGTCAAACAACTGACAGTTCCCAATAAGGACATGCCCTTAAACTACAGAAAACTAGAACTGGTTAAGTTTACGTGTCCATATTCACACATTTGCATAGAAACATAGATGCAACATTTCTTTTATGAAATCACAATCAACAAAAATATAATTGCCTCTAGTCTGTTTTTCTCCCAAACCTTTAACTACTGTAGCAAATAGTAGCTAAATTATATGAGTTTAATAAAAAAGTGAAGAAAAATAGTCTATGCTTTGTCCATATAGTTAATTAATGAAGAATTTTGCTATCATATCTTTACAATCAGTTTGATACTCCTTTTCAAAAGGATACATAACATATGTCATGTAAAGATACTAGTTTTATCATCATCTTTTCCTAGATAACTGAAAAAAACAGTAATTCTGAACAAATTATGACATAACCAATAGAAATAAAATAGTGACCAAAATTGGGTCTATCTTTTGTCCCCCCAGAAAAGATGAACTAAAACACAACGAAATCTCCAACATCCTCCGGGTGACAGAAAAGGACAAGGCTTAAGGCAGCACTGTTCAGTCTTAAAACATCCTGAAGATGACGAGTTTCTCCTCTGAAATTATCTCCAAACCTAAAGAATACGTATTACTGTCCAAACTTTCTAAACTGGAAAAAATAAAAAACCCCACTATCATTAAATTATTAAGACTCTTTACTCTTGCAACATATCCTAATTTTGCAGGGATTTACGGAAAAGTTAGAAATACTAAAAGGTATACATACACTGGAATCAACTGCTCTGCAAACCAATTCCCTCGTCAATAAGGATTTAATAAAATCTGTTTTTTGGGGAGGGTTTTTTTTTTTTAATTTTTTATTTTTAACCAACATTGCCAGTTTTCAGGCACTATTCTGTTTCAGCCTGGGTGATTTATTCCTAGTTGCATGGAACTAATTATTTTGCCTTTCAGCCCTAAAGCACAGGATTAAGTGCAAGAGAGGTTTCATCTGGCATCCTATTCCAAGGGCAAGGAGGCAAAAGTACTTTTTGCAAACACCAGTCTCACTGAAAGCTCCATGCAAATACAAAAAAAAAAAAAAAAAGCCCAGGAATTAAGGGGAATGCATCTAATTTAATTCTCATAAAGACCATTAGAGCCTCAAATCCCTCTAGTTATCAGTATCCTTTAGGTTATCAGTAGATCCTTTGCAGTGTGCTTCAACCAAGAAATCCTCTTGTAGGACCATCCTCAGCCTTTGGATATGTGTAAACTGAATATTGAGAAATTGACTTCTATTGCACCAATGACTTCTCTAGTAGAAAAAAAGAAATGGATTTGAACTGATCATTCAATTTGTTTTTCCTTCCTGTTTTTGGAGAAGAGATTTTTCCCCCCTTCAAAATATTGTTTTTTAACTGAAGATAGATACTTTACAATTAAAACTTTTTGCCAACACCCAAGATGTAACAGAATTAACTACACCACTTTTTCATTTCCTTTTTTTTTTTCAGTTTTTTGTTGCTACTCTGCCTTCTGAAAGGAGCAAAGCAGTTAAAGGAAAAAAACTTAGAAGTGGTAACAACCCTTTAACTTAGTTCACTCTTTTGCATTCTGCGGCAATAAGAAAGAAGTGAAACAGCCTTCAAAAAAATTAACATATAAGAATGTTTGGAAAATATTTTAAAAATACAAAATATCCATTTTCAATTCAAAATCTTTTTCATTCTTGAGAAAGTTCATTATGTTTTCTACCATTTGTGTGTATCTCCAGTTTCTAGTGGCTAGCTATATTAACTTACCTGCGGACAAATCTTTCACTATGCTTTTTTGTATAAACATGTGAAAATGTCTTTACTTACACTCTGCACTACCCCAGTGCATTTTCATGAAGATATTGTTTTGGTCAATAACATGACATCTTCATTATAATATACAACAGACAATCAGTGTAACAATGGATAGTATTTCCTGATTGTATTATCAAGAGCAGATATGCAAAAGAATATCTCAGAGGACTGCTAAGCCTTTGCCTTTTGCAACCCTTGCTTTCATCCACTGGAAGCAGTACCATAAAATGCTATCTAAATAACCAGCTGGGTTATTTAAGTTTGGGGATCCATTTCTATGGCATAGCTGTCCAGATAAGTAAAAACGTTATGTAAGTGGTGAGCTTTCAGTATAAGTCTTCCATGGTGTTGTACTGACGCTTCTGGCAACATCAGCTGCAGGGTCAGTAAATACAAGGAGATGACAGAGTCTCACTGGTCCCATGCAGAGGTCATTCTGTCCATGTCAGAAATATTAATGTGGAGGACAAAAAAAAGCTCATGTGGGAGAGAAAGTTGGCAAGTAAGTAGGTATGTGATGATAAATCAGCTACAATTCTTTCTAGTGAGATGCTACTCCCTTCAATGTAAAAACACTGATATCATGATAAAAA